TGTCCTTCTGCAGGGACTGGCCTCTTCTGACAACATGTCCAAAGTATACGAGACAAAGTCTCACCATCCTGGCCTCTAAGAAACACTCTGGCGATACTTCTTCCAGCAGAACCGTGTGTCCTTTTAGTAGTCCATGGGACTCTCAACATTCTTCTCTAGCATCAAAATTCAAATGCAGTGATTCCTTTATCATCATGATTCAATGTCCAACTTTCACAGTCTGACTCACAGAGACCCTATGTACAACAGAACAAAACACTGACCCGGCAAATTTACCCAACGTTCAAGGGCAAGTGGAAGCTGTCCCTAAATTGGAAGTTTGTAATTATCCCAGGGTTAATGATATTGCAGTTAACCTCCATTTTTATCCTCCGAATGCACCCATTAATCTCAAATGGAATATGGGTCCAATTGCCTCCACAACAACTGCTTCTTTTGTCCCGACACCGGAACTCAATGGAGCTGGCTACTGACAATGAACATGGGGCTCAGGGGTCCTGAAGAAGAACGTTGATTAAAAGGGGGAAATTGTAAGACAGAGTTTCAAACGCTCATGAAAACCAGGCATTCTAGAGCTACTGAGACTGGGTAACCTTGAAACCTATTACCCTGGGGAAATCTTTCAATCTTGAGCCAAAATGATGCCCTGAGGTCATCTTTGAATAAAACAGTAGTTCAACCTAATTAGGAAACAAATGTTCACAGGAAGCCCTGTGCACCTTAAAAAGAATAATCAGCATGTGAGCAATTGACAATGGCAACTTGAAAGGATGGATGAGTAGCTCTGGGGAGCATGTTACTAATGGTTGTTGAGACAGGTGGCCTGACTTGTAGAATGTAACCAATGTCATTGAATTCTCCAGGTGGAAACGGCTGAAGTGTGTGTACCTTGCTGGGCATAGTTCCATGGAAGGAAAGAAAGAGAGGAAGGGAGGAAAAAGAGATGGAGGGAAGAAAGGGAAGAAATAAGAGTGGGGTGGATGGCTCCATCCATTCATCCAGCCGTCTCCATGTCCATTGCTCTTAAGTCCAACAAAGTGAACCCCTTCTCTTGGCAATGTGAACATGTGACTCACTGGTCTTCCTGCTTCCACTGTTGCAAATGTTCACAATACCTTCATCAAGCGATTCCCCTGCCTCTCCAGATGGTACATGTTTCATGATCCCTCTTCCCTCCATAGTTTTTATTTTATTTTTTACTGTAGAATATATATATGGAGCCCCACTGGTGTAGTGGTTAAGTGTTGGGCTGATAGTCCCCAAAACACCAGCAGCTCCAAGAGAAAGACTGGCTTTCTCCTCCTGTAAACAGTTACAGTCTCAGAAACACACAGGGGGTCACTATGAGTCGGCATTGGCTCGATGGCAGTCCGTTTTACATCATATACATATATCATATGGATATATTATTCCTGCATTTTTTCACATGGACCGTATAGTGGCACTAGGCTTATCATGTTATGTAACCGTCACCCTCATTTGACCCCAAGTTTCCCCATCACCCTTAGCTCATTGTCCCCTAAGCTTTCTCACCCCAGGCACCACTAGCAGATGCTGGTCTCTGCAGTGCCTCATCTGGCTAGGCCTGTAAGTAGGGCCGCACAAGAGTGGCCCTTCTGTGGCTGACACTGAGTTCTCAGGATACTGCGTGCAGCGCTCACTCACGTTGTCGCATGCAGCAGGGTTCTGCTTCTCTTTATGGCTGAGTAACAATCTACTATATGGCTGCAGCACATTTTGCTTATCCATTCATCTCTCGGTGGACATGAAAGCTTTTGAAGCAAATCTGAACTGCTTACTGGGGTCACTGTTCACCCCATTCAGTATGACTTTGTTTCTTGGACACACCAAGCTAGTGTCTTTCCTTTCCTGCCCCACTGAGTGGAATGTTTTTCTCTCTGAAAGAGGCACGTGACCGGATCTTTCTCTGGCCCAGCTCCCATGCCATCTCTTCAGAAAGCCCTCCCCAGCTTGACCCTCTGTGTAAATCGGCTCTGTGGTCTGTGCTTACTCATGAATGGGTTTCATGCGAGTTTTCTCCACAACCAAAGCAGAAGTTCCCCATAGGTCAGGGATCGCTATACAACTTGCCAGAGTCTCTCCCGCCCTGGAACAGGGCCTGGCACCTGGATGGCACTCCCTGAACATCAGGCAAACCAGTGGATTTCCAACTCGCACAAACCCTGATGCTGCCAATGGGAGAACTAACTCCACAACAGTATGATCCCCGTAAAAGACCCCTCAGAGCCCACTCTGTGGGCTTGTGAGCTACCTTACCCTTTTTGTAAGTGAGCTGCCTTTTTGGTCGTGAGCTACCTTCCCCTTTGGGGGAAGGCTGACAAGCCCCTGTTCCTACACACTGGCTCAGCTGTGGTATTTGGGCTGCGTAGGGGTCACTGGGGCTGGCTTAGACAGCCATCACCATTCCTCACTGGTGGAGAAGTGGGAGTAGTGCCCTACAACTCAGGTCCTAACAGATTCATGTGACCTGTTGGTTGCTGCCAACATGGAATCTTTCAAGCAAGAGTGTGGAAGATGGAAGTGCCCTTAGGTGGCCATGTCACAGAGATCTCCGGTCCTCAGCCACACAGATCACCTGTCGAGGCAGACATCCGGCCCTAGCTCTGACTTCTTAGCATTGTGTACAGAATAGAGTCCACTCACAGTGCTGCAATGAGTTCTTCAGCACTAGTGTGTGTGTGTGTGTGTGTGTGTGTGTACATCTCCCAATGAGTGATAGCCAATCAATGCCTCCCAGATCAATGTCCCTTCCTACTGACTGCCACTTTATTAAGTCCAATGCACTAAAATTAGGCACTGCAAAGGACCAAAAATAACTCTTTGTGGGTGGTAAACTCATAAACCATTTTCTAGTCATATTTATCAAGTGAATGCAAAGGTGATTAAATAGTTTGAAGCAAGAACAAAACTCATGGCCCTTGAGTCAGTTCTGACCCATAATGGCCATATAGGATAGGATAGAACTGCCCTTGTGGGTTTCTGAGACTGTAACTCTTTATGAGATTAGAAATCCTTGTTTTTTTCTCCTGAGAAGCATCTGGTGGTTTCGAACTGCTGACCTTGTGGTTAGTGGTGCAACCCATAACCACTACATCCCAGGGCTCCCATGAATAGGTTGAAGGATGCTCTTAAATTGATATCTATATACCGCCTGAACTTGTGACTCACTATAATTTTAACAGCTCTTTTAAAATTACATGTTCCCCACTCCCCCAAAAGCCAGCTTTCCAGGCAAATTAAAATATCGATAGTTTTCCCTTAACAACAGGCTCCACATTGCAACAACAATTCAAATGCTTTCTTTTGAGTCACCCTTGTCCTACTTGTAAGGCATGGAGTGCCAGTGAGCCTGCACTGTTCACATACTGATAGACCGAGGGGACATGGGACAATGCATTCTGAAGTGGAGATCTTCACTGAAGGGGGACTGGACTCCTGAAAGTGTCCTCACCTTTCCCTTTGGCTAAGTTTCTGTTGTACCCCACGGGGCTGAAGTACTCAAAGACGAAGACAGCGATGGCCGAGACGATGAGCAGCATGACAAACATCATCACCCAGACGGAGGCACTGAAAGGCTCTGTGGGAGGGAAAGGAAACAAGGTCAGCCCGCTCTTCAGCTCACCTGGCGCCCATGGGACCCTCAGGCGTCCACCGACCGGTTCTCAGAGAAGAAGTTTTCCCTGTGTGAATTGAATCATCCAACAAAAGCGAGTCATTTGTGAGACTTCACAGAACATGAAGGAAAGAGAGAAGAGAGTGGAAAAGTTTACAAAGGGATACTATACCTCGAGCAGGAATATCTAAGACCCAGGGAGAATACTAGAATGCAGATAGCAAGGCCAACGAGATCCTACATAATCAGAGGCATCCTGGGGGGCAAAGTCGAAGAGGAACAAAATTAGACCCTGAATCTTAAAGGCTTGTCTTAAAACAAGCAATTGTTTAAGTGTGGTGTCAGCTAAGTCCACACAAAAGAAGTACACCAGTGATCCAAGGATTGCAAGTAATAAAGTCCAAGATCAGAGGAGGGAATGGTATTGTGACTTAAATTCTGAGTACACGGTTAGTTTGACAGGGAAAGACAAGAATCCTTTTTCAGAGTTTCCACTTGGATTAATTCTCCATTGAATTCCCTTGGACCACTGACCAGACTGTGAATAGTCTTGCCCTTAGACAGAATGCACTACTGCAGATATAATGAGGTTTAAACTTAACATTTTGGCATTTTAAATTTGTTCTAGTTTCCCTTATATTCTACGTTCGCTTGGATTAAAAACGATCACTTTCTAAGCGTGAACTATGGGCAGGCCAACAATACCTCAGGAACAGTAGAAATTTCTTATTTTTAAATTTCTTAGTTCTGATAAAATTGGTAAGACTCATACAGAACCAGGCCAATAGCATCCAGCTTCTCATTAAAGTCTGTGAGTACATAACACAATGAGCGGTCACCACAAATTCCATTTTAATGAACTTAATGTATAACAAGGAGGATATGTGAGTCCCAGGGTCGTGATGAGCTTCTGTCTGAAACGGCATCATACATTGGTTCTGATGTAAAGGCAAATACCTCACTGTTTTTCTTCTACTTTTTATTCTTATTGCCTTTTCTTATCAGCATCGTTATAAAATAGATGGTCATTAGCTCTTTGTCATAACTTGAGTACTTTGTAACTTGGGGGTTATCTCTGTACCTGCAGATTGATAAATGGGAGGAACAGTTTGTGGGGTGGAGTTTGGGCTGTGCAAAACTTATTCAAAAGCAACAAGTAATGGCACAATTTACTTGTATTAAATTACACAGGATGAGTGCCAAGAAGTTAATGAGTCTATGGCTGACATTTATCTTTGTTAAATTTAGTCAAGTAATAAATAATACTATGCCCCTCAAATCATAGTAATTTGGTAATGAGGTGTATCCACCAGAGGAAAAATAAGTGATAATTAGGAAGTTAAAAATGACTGAATCCTCAGGAATAGAGGCATTATTCTCCAAGCTGGACGGACTACCAGCCAGGACTACCAAGAGAGCTTTGGTTGTGTAGTGGCCACACTTTGGCCTGCTAACCACAAAGGCAGCAGTTTCAAACCATCAACCCCTCCACGGGAAAAGAGGAGGCTTTCTACTTCTGTAAAGAGTTACCCAAAAACCAACTCACTGCTATTGAGTAAACGTGGGCTCATTGCAACCCCCATGCGGGTTTCCAAGACTGTAACTGCTAACGGGAGTAGAAAGCCCAGTCTTTCAGCCTAGGAATTGCTGGTGGTTCTGAACTGGCAACCATGACACTCTCAGGAATCCTGTAAAGAGTTAGTCTTGCAAACCCACAGGGGCAGTTCTACCCTGTCCTATAGGGTTGCTAGGAGCCAGAATTGACTGGATGGCCGTGAGTTTTGATTGGGTTGAGGGGTAAGATTAAAGGCAGGACCAGGGCGCTGTCCAGTGTCCTGAACAAGGCATCCTGTTGAGAGGCTGGGATAGCCCTTCCACTGCAGGTTGTAATGATTAGATCACAAAGACATGTCAGGGGAACCCTAACTGTATTCTTCTCCTCACATGTCAGCATGTTTAACCCGGCCGGGGGGTTGGGGGGAATGGGGCTTCTTATGCATCCTAGCTCATAGGTAGGAAGTGGTGGGGAGGGATAAGACTTGACCCAAGATATTTCTCACTTGCAACTGTCAGCATCTGTCCTTGTAAGTTGGGTGCCACCTGCACCCTCGAGCTTCTGGTCACACGGCATGACATAAATGTCTGCAGTTGCAGTATTCTGGTTTCAGTATTCAGTGGACTTTTGTCCAGACAAACACGCACACACCAGCGGGGAGAGAAGCATCAAAACAATGGCGGATCACGGTCCACGGCATCTATGGAATGATCCAGAAATATCTCTAAATAGCTGTGGACTGCATCTCCTGATAGCTCCAAACATACCACAACTGTCCAGGGAGAAACTTCAATCTAAGAGAATCCTGGTCAGCGTTTCTTTGGATTAAAAATAAATAAATAAAATACAACCTACTTGGAAAGTCTTTAGAAAGAACTGAATGGAAAAATTGCCAGAGATGTCATTTCTGTCCTTGAAGAGTCACTGGTTACAGATTTGACACAAAAGCTGAGAGGTTTTACCTGCAAGTGTTTCCGATGGAAGTTAATGGGATTTGCGGAGGAGAGGGGGTCGGAAATAATGAAGTGTGGGGCCATCAGATTGCCTCTGTTTGGGCTCTTCCAGATGACTGAGCCAGCGAATGGAAAAATGCAGCTTAGCATGGTTCATTATGGCTTGCAAAATCTTCAGATAATGCCTATGCAGACGGTGGGGGCCCCAGCCCACCGAGCTGGCATGTAATTTAATGACTAGGGGGAAAAAAGAAGCTTGCTGGGTGAAAACAGGCTGCAGGACACTGTCCCCCAGCCTCGCTTTGGCTTCTTTTCCTTGAAGGGTACAGCACAGAAACAGCCCGGATGACTGGCACGCCGTCTCCATTTAGGCAGTGATGTTTTCAGATCAGTGTTAAAAGGAACCGTATTTGTAATTGGATTTGTAATTGGCTAAGTTAGTAAAAACAAATCCAGTTGAAACACATATGGATACAGCACGGTAGGGCTGGGGTTGGGTTGGCTAAATTTACCAGAAAGACTTGATTTTTTGTGGAAAGGTACCAGTGGTGCAGGTAAGTTTAAAAATCTGGAGAAACTGGGTGGAGACCAGATTCAATACCAGCGACCTATTTTTAAGGAGACAGGTCAACAGGTATTTCTCTCTCTCTCTCTCCATGAACTGGGGAAAAGTCCTCTCAACCTCACTAAGGAGATGTGTGGACAACCTGGAAAGAGGAAACAGATGGCTCTGCTTCTTCCTTGTTCCCATAAGCCCAGTTGCCCTAACCCTTGCCTATTCTCCAGAGAGGAGGCTTCCTATTTAAGGAAATGAGGAGAAAAAACAATCAGCTCAACCAAAAAAATGGGAAAAAAGAAAAAACAAACTCAAGGTCTTCAAGTGGAGTCTGATTCACGGCGACCCCGTGTGTCACCAGGATGTCTGCAGGTGTGAACGTGGTGAGGCACATTGCCAGGCCTGTCTTCCATGGACCTGCAGGGTGGGTTTGAACCATCAACTTGTGGAATGCAAACCATTCGCAGGGCCCTTCAGAAACATTTTGAGGAGGGAGTGGCGGATCAACAGTCATCGAGGGTCTCAGCCTGCTGTCACCATCAGTCTGCTGTGTTTCTTTTCTGTCGCACAGCAAGGCCCTCTTCTCAGCTGTGGGTCCCTTCTCTCCCTCAGACAGTGGGACAAAGGAGCCAAGATGAACGAAAGTGTGTATCTGTCAAGGTCGGTGCTGCCCCCACAAAAGTTGCATAAAAAAAAAAAAGGAAAGCAGAGAGTGAAAAATCAAATCCAGTGAGTGGCAAGGATTTCGAGGGCTTAACTGGATTATCAAAAATGAAAATAGTAAATCCATATGTCTCTGTGAGTAAAGCAAGTATCCCAAATCCTGTTAGTCAACATGTCCCTCAGGAGAACGGGGCATCAAAAGTTAGCCTGTTTGCAAAGACGACATAAATGAACACAGTGGACAGACAGGGCTGGGGGCTTAGGATCGATCCACAAATTGACTCGAGTCTGACATGATCTCAAATTACTAGGGGGAAAAATCTTGGAAGTAGGGTCATCTTCCAAATCTTGAAGCAAACTCACTCCTTACAGAGGGATAAATGGAGAGCTAGACATCGACGTTCCAGGACCTTCAAATGCTGCTGTTGTGCCTGGCTGCCCCGAGCCCATTTCATTCCTCGTGCCCCGTGGGAAAGATCAGGACTGGCCCAGCAGATTCCTTGGGCTGTGACCTGCACAGGCCACCAGGGCTTCCTACTGCCAAATCACTGGGTGGGTTCTAGCTGCAGTGGCTGGGAGCTAATTGCTGAACCTGGTACCCCTGGGGACCGTGGATCTTCAAACGGCCACTCCCAAAAGCCACTTCTAGCAGCAAACCTTGAAACACACCCTGTGTTTTAAAGAAAAGAGCAAATCATGCTTGATGCTGTCAGGTGCCGTTTCAGCTAGTCTAGCTACTGAACGCAGTCAATACACTGTGACAGTGCTGTGGAAAACCAGACCATCGGAAACCTAGGCTGACCTTACTGTAAAACGCTTCTTAGGCAAAAGCATCGGGTTATGAAACGGTTCAAAGAAGAATCCCCTCTCGATACCAACCCGTCAGCTTACGGGATAAACACCTGAGCACATTTAAAATAGGATTCGATTCATTTTAAGGTGGTGCATAGGTGCAGTTCCAGTCCCTTCTGTTTTGCTTATCAGAATCGAACAAACACACTCACGGCCAACAAGTCCACGCTGACTCATCGTGCCCCTATAGGACAGGGTAGAACTGGCCCTGTGGGTTTCCGAGACTCTAACTCTTCATGGGAGTAAAGGAAGTAGAAAGCCTCATCCCTTTCCCTCAGAGCAGATGGTGCTTTTGAACCGCTGACCTTTGGAATCGCATCAAATTCGGAACCACTACACCAACAGAGGCGCTCACAGGTTAGCATAAATCCTTGGGTAGGCTTTGCTATTTTCACCCTTTCTCCCAGGAAAGAAACGCCTGTCATTCTAGGCAGAAGGAGCCCCTGGGGTGGGCTGATATATAAGAAAGGAAGGAGTCTGAGCAGGTTGTCATGAGCTGTGGACAAAGAGGCTTAGGATCACGTGTTGCAGGCTTTAAGCCATACAGCTGCTAGTCTGCATTCTATGCACTACAGGCCAGGATGTGAATGTGCACGGTCCCTCATGGTGCAAAGATTAAGCACTCAGCTACTAACCAAATGGCTGGTGATTCAAACCCACCCAGGGAGAAAGGACCTGGTGATTAGCTCCCGTGATTACAGCTGCACTCGGTCCCAAGGGGACAGAGGTGGGCCGGGGTCATTGAAATGCAGCATGCCCTGGCACATGCTGGTGGGTTCAGCCTGCTTGCCGCCACTGTTGGATGAAAGGCTCAGAATCTCAGACTGCACACAGGAAGGCGAGGGAACCCAGGACATGTGCCTACCTAGGAAAGCCGAAGGGGAGACGGTGCCATTGCTCCTGGAAACCATGACACTGATTCCCGTCTCCACGAAGGGCACTGAGAAGTCCACCACTTCCGACCGCTCCTCGTTGATGGTGAGCGAGCCCACCGCCATGACCGCCCGCTGGTAGACCACCTGGACGCAAGGTGAGAAAAAACACAGCCTTACTGCTTAGCCCCCTGCCCTCCCCAGGGGGCTTCAGGCCCCAGGTCTGGACTAGAGCGCGCGCGCTGAAAGGGTGACTCACCTCACCGATCATCCCATTCCACACATTGTTGACCTTCTTGCCGTGCTTCCCGTTGGTCACGAGGTAGAGGTCGTAGGTGAACTTCACCGTCCTGGAGAGCTTCTTAAGGATATCGATGCAGAAGCCCTTGCAGCACTTTTTAACATTCATCCCCTCGTTGGTGGAATTGCTGCGGGCAAAACCCCAGGACCACGCAAGGTTAGCTCTGGGAGATGTATGCACATTCTTTAGCTATATTACGTCACTACCCTGTTTCCCCGAAAGACATCCCCCGAAAATAAGATCTACTTACAGTTTTGCCTGTCGCTGAAATATAAGGCATCCTCCCGAAAATAAGACCTCCCTGAAAATAAGGCCCCCCCGAAGCTACCATAACTCTGTACTCTGGACTGTAGCAGTGGGCTCCGCCACACAGCTCACTGTTGGCTGCAGCGCAGCCGGAGCAGACAGGAAGTGCAAGGTCTCTTTTAATAAAACAATAAATGTGTACTGTATTCTTCTTCATAGAAAAATAAGACATCCCTTGAAAATAAGACCTAGCGCACCTTTGGGAGCAAAAATTAATATAAGACACTGTCTTATTTTTGGGGAAACAGGGTAGTTTGCAGATGTGGCATGGGGGGTGGGGGTGGGTACAAGAATGAATGAATGAATAAGGAAGGAAGGAAAGCGTTTTTCTAAAGACCTGCAGTGGGTTCATGCAAGCACACGTAGAAAGTGTTCTTAATTACCCCAGTAATCATGACCATAGTGAATGTTTCCTGAGTAACTATTATTTGCTGGGGACTCTGATAAGTGCTTTAAGCTCCAGCCTTAGAAGCTGTCAGTATTTGTACAGTTATATATATCCTTATCTTATCATGGGGCTGCTAAGACTGACTTATCACTTACCTTCACCCACACAACCCACCCCCCTCTTTATCCAATGTCTATGATGGTTGTAAATTCCAGCCTGACCAGTCCACACAGACTGGTAGGGGTGGGGATAAGGCAGTACAGTCTTTATACCATAGTTAAGAGCCACCAATCACTGAGGGGCAAGCACAGACTGAAGTGGCCTCCCACACTCCCCAAGCCGAGGGTGGCTAGCTCAGAGTCAATGTCCAAGCTCTACGGTGGTCCTCGTCATAGCCTTAGGGTGGGCAAGCAGTGGTCACGGCAGGTGAGGAGGGCTGCAGTGGTAAAGACAGGGGTGTCACTTCCCCCTGGTCCACCCATCCCTCCCTTCCTCTGTCCTGTCGCCTCTGCTCCCAACACAGTCTCCTTGGGTCAAAGTCATGCAGACCGTTTGCTGGCCTCCTGGACATGAGTATTTTGGATGCAAATGACCACTGATGCATTTTCACCTGACAAACGGCCGCTGAGGGCCTACATGAGGAGCCCTGGTGGTATAGCGTTACCCACTGGGCTTTGATTCTCAAGGTCAGCCGTTCGAAACTACTAGCTGCTCCTCCAGAGAAAGACAGGACTTTCTACTCCCGTAATGAGTTACAGTCTCGGAAACTCACAGGGGGCAGTTCTACCCTCTCCTGTAGGGTGGCTAGGAGTCTTAATCAGCTCCATGGTAGTGAGTTTGGTGTTTGGTGTTTGAGAGCCTACATTGTGTGAGCCATGGAAAGAGGCCCTGGGGACAGAGAGATGAGGAGAGATGGGGGAGATGTGACCATTAATATTATCACAGAGTGGCTGGTGGGTTTGGGCCATTGACCTCTTGGCTAGCAGCCAGGCACTTGAGGATAGGGCCCCCTTACCACACAGACATCTGTAGATGACCACATGTACCCTTCCTTAGCTCCCCTCCCATCTCTCCAAAGAAAGGGAGACTCACAAAAACAAACAGGGGAAGAGGTACCCCCAAAGTCACACAGATCACTGGACCCAGGACTTCCTCAAGGTACCAGTGCATGAGAGTGTGTCCACAAGTCACACAGAGCCAGTTCAAATCCCAGATCTGCACTGACAGCAGGGGGTCTCAGGCAGCACTTCCTCGCTCACTGAGTTTTGAGTGTTAGCAGAGAGGGTTGACACTCCCCTGGTCGGCAGTCGGGAAGGTGAAGCAGAGCCAGGAGCATCACCTGTCATGTAAGTGCTTACAAATGCTAGTCCTCTCATTCCACCACAGTGTGACAGCTCGGGTCTGATTTGATAGATAGCCTGGCACTTTCTGCCCACGTCTCAGCCCAACCGATATTTCCTGAGCTTTCTCTCCATGTTTCAAGACCCAACTCCCTGTTCAGAAGTCTGCTTTCTCAGCTCAATTGCCATTTCTGGTAGCTTCCTGGCGACGCGTTGGGCTGCAAAAATGCGAGGTCAGCAGTTCACAACCTGCAGCAGCTCCCAGGGAACAGGGCAGGGCTTTCAGAGTTACAGTCCTGGACACTAAGGGGCAGTTCTTCCCCGTGACATAGTGTCACCATGTGTCAGCACTGACTCAATGGCAGTGGGATTGAGTTTTGGTGGGTGTAATCAGAAGACTGGAGGTGCCCTCTCAACGCTCCTCCATTTCCTAGCACCAGAGACCCAGTATTTTCCTGGGAGAACATCACCGAAAACCCCACAAAAACCATCACCTTGGCCCGCAGACATCAAGCTGCCCCAGAGATGTTGCTCTCAGGACAGACAGCTACTGTATACTAATCCTGGAGCCCAGAGAGCCTAAGAATCCCACGGCTCCCGGGGGAGTCACAGACTCAGGCGATGGAATCAACATCTCATGTTCCCAAATATAAAAAAGGGGGACTGCAGGCTCCGTCTCGCCACTCTGAGCCCATCAGCTGTTGATCTTTGAGGAGTCAGGGCTGTTGTTATAGAAACCGGCGCACGTGGGCTCACTTTCTTCTGACAGACCAGCCTCTAGACCGATGATCTCTCTGTCTTCTGCGGAAGGCTTCTGCTTTTCAAGACCTGGGAGCAACTAGCAGTGGTTGTCAAATCTCCGAGGCCCTCCTTGGTCGGCCCTTAGAAGCAGAAGCAGGCGTCCTGGTGGCGCAGCGGTGGAGCGCTGGGTGGGAGGTATTTCAGCACAGGAAGGGCCCCACGGAAGAGAAGATCTAGTGAGGGTCTGTTCCTGGCCAGATCACCAACCTAGGAGACCCTCTGCGCCAGTTCGGCCCCGCCCTCCAGGGCCGCGAGGAGAGGGAACCACTGGACGGCACCCCACAACAACATAGACATGTAAAGAGCAGTACCGCTGGGCATGAGACCAAATGGTTGGCAGTCTAAGCCAACCCAGAGGGGTTTGAAATAGAGGTCTGGCAATCTGCTCCCCGCCCCCAATTGGCCATTGAAAGCCATATGGCGCACAGGTCGCTTCCGACACCTGTGGGTCTGCCCTGAGTTGGAAGCGGCATGACCACGGGAAAGGAGGTGCCGTATTGAGGCTGCACCTCAAACACAGAAATGGGTCTGCAGACCTGGGTCGTGTTTTGGTCTATGATGCACAGGCCATAATGAGCAGGGACCGACTGGACTGCACTGACCACAGGAACAGCCAAGGGTCTACTCTCTGATGGGCGTTGGTCACCCAGCATCGTCCATTTTATGAGGCTCTGCTTTAAGAACCGCTCCTCCTCGCCAAGCCAGGGCCCCCTGTGACCATTTACCCACACGGTTCCCTCCAAACCTCCTCCCTTCAACTGAGCATCGCATGTGACTTCCTAGTTTCTCACCTGCTGCTGGAAGGCTCGTCCCCAAGTTCTTCTGCCTGGCCCTTCTCATTCTCTGGATCACCTTGAATCTTGCTGGGGTGGCAAAAGGAGCCCCCTACACCTGACACCACTCTCTGCCACACCTCCTCGTTCACTCCTTTCCTTCACAGGTTGACACGGCCTGGGGCTGCCCAGACCCTTCCCTGGAGAGTTATTCTTTGAAATGTTTGCTGTGTGGCTTGGTGCAAGGTCCTCATCTGCCCCAGGACCAGCACCCACCACATAGTCTCGACTCAGTGCTCGCTTACATTCATCAGAGCTGGTCTGTTCATAACTTCAATGTCAAAGAGGTGCATATTAATGACCTTGTCAATTTTTTTAATTGCTGAGTGAAAATGCACCTTCACAAACATCCCCCCAAAGATAATCAAAACAATTCTGGTAGCCTTTCCCATCTCTATTTCCACATGTACACAAAATAGATAAATAAACATATTGAATAGAAAACTGAAACAGGCAATTCCCAATACTTTATTTCAAGTTTTAGCAAAAGATTGGGCTGGAGATTGAAATGTGGGGGTAAGAACATCTCATCTCAACAAACAACCACAACCCAACAAACTCACAGCGGCACTGTGGGACAGGGTAGATTCGCCCCTGTGCGTTTCTGAGACTGCAACTTTTTACAGAAGTAGAAAGTCCTGTCTTTCCTCCTGCATAGAGAGCTGGTGCTTGTGAACTACTGACAGTGCAGCATGTAACCACTACACTCCTAGGGCTATAAGCACGTGTGCTGTGCCTGGTCATGGGGGTACAAAGACTGAAGGGACAAACCACACCCCAGGGTTTAGGCAGCTCACAGTCTAGGGGGAAACACTGGCAAATTGAAAACCCGAGAAGGGGTGAGAAAGGCAGAGACAGAGAGAGAGAGAATCTAGTAGAAGGAGGTAAATTCATCCAAACCGAGGACTCAATGGCTTAAAGGACACCTGATTTATCCAGGGGAAAGAAAATGGTCAGAAAAGCCCCTTTCTGTTATAAAAAGGTACATTTCCATCCAACAGGAGGCTTTGTTTTTTGTTACCGTTCCACCTGTCCCTGATGCTGTCCAGTCAATTCTAACCCACAGTGACCCTGTAGGACAGCTCAGACGCAGACTGCGGAGTGGCCAGTGGGTTTGAACTTCTTAGCTTTGGGGTTAGCAGCTGTGTGCATACCCGCTGCACCATCAGTGCCCCTGAATGCCCCGCGGGGACTATCTCTGTGTGTGTTTGCAATAGGAAAGACCCTGAACTGGGCCTGGAGCTTTATGCTTCCCCAGAGGAACCCTGGGGCATAGTGGCTATGCCTTGGGCTGCTAATCACCAGGTTAGTAGTCCAAAAGCAACAGCTGCTCTGAAGGAGAAAGACAGGGCTTTCTACTCCGCCAAAGAGTTACCATCTCAGACAGTCACAGGGTGGTTCTACCCTGCCCCATAGGGTCACTGTGAGTCAGCATCGACCAGATGGCAGTGAGTCTGGTTGCTCTGTCTGTCTTTTTAACGGACCTGGGGCTCAGCCTTCACTTGGAGACTGAGAGAAGGGAAGAGCTTCGATCCATGCGTGCTGCGGTCAATAAACAAGGAAGCTAGCAGGTCATTGAAAACACAAAGCTCGGCTTGTTGTCCAGTCGTTTCCAACTCAGGGGAAGGCCCAGTGGGTGACGCAGAGAGGAGGCCACTCCATGGGCTCTCAAGGGCTAAGTCTTTGGAGACACACTGCCAGGAGCCTCTGAGGGAACGGAAACCACCAACCGTCTGTGCCACGTGGGCAGGGTCAGTCAACAGACAAGGTCCACCTTAGTCACTCAACTCAAAAAGACTCACAGCCATCAAGTAGATGCCAACTCACAGCGGCCCTCCAGGGCAGGGGAGGGCTGTCCCAATGGGTTTCTGAGAGGGAACTCTTTACAGGAGCCTCATCTTTCTCTTGTGGAGTGTCTGGTGGTTTTGAACTGTTAACCTTGGGGTTAGTAGCCCAACTTGTAACCACCACACCACCAGGGCCTTCATCACAGCAATTAGTAATGAAAGGGAACGGATGCCAGGAGCCCTGGATGGGGTATGCCCTGCACTACTGAATGCAGGGCAGCAGTTCGAACCCATCACCCACTCCACAGGAGAAAGATGAGGCATTTTGCCCCTGTAAAGATTTGCAGCCTCAGAAACCCAAAGGGCAGTGCTACCCTGCCCTGTAGGGTTGCTCCTTATGAGTTGGAATTGATTCAATGGCAGTACAGTTTGTTTGTTTTGGGTCTTAGGTGTGAGAAGATCCTTAAATGGAGGGGCGCTTTTTGAATTTTGAAAAGTTTAGACCAAGAGAAAGAACGAAGGGGGAGGTGGCAAGCTTGGGGAAGGGGCAGGCAAACAATCAACGCACAGATAAGAAATAATTATTGAAGGAAGTGCCTTGGGAGTCAGACCAGGGTCTGAACCTCCAACCTTCTAGTCACTGAATACTTAACCTCATGGCATACCCAACCTATGGCAGGGTAGACACCAGTGTCCACACACCATGTGTCTCACCAGGTGGGCACACTCACTTGATTCTGACGAACTTGCGGCAGGGCACCGTGTTCCTCACGCATGACTCAGTCAACGGGTCGATGTCTTCCACGATGACAAAGGGCGCCTCCTCCAGGGTGACGATGCTCAGATGGTTGTCGTCCGGCTCACAGTCGGAGAAGGACTTGTATCGCGGCCACACGGCGTGCCTCAGGCTCAGCGTCTGGTTCTCCCACTTGCCCACCTGCAACAGAGACACAGACACCTGTGGGCGGGCTGGCACCACCCACGGGGGCCAGCTCCAGGGGGACCACAGTGCAGCAAGTTACGGGACATCTGCTGGGTTCTAAGAGACCTAGGAGGGCAGAGGAGTGGCCAGGCCCCTCCCTAGATGAGAGCTCCCTAGAACAACCTGGTGTCCAGCCTGAGGTCCCTCTGTTGTCCTGGAGACAACACCGCTTTTGGAATCTGGGTTGTTTAAATGCACAACTCTGCCATTTACAGGTGGGGCAAGCTCTTAGCCAGCAGGAGCCTCTGCACCCTCATGCGTCACACAGACAGGGTCCTGTCTGTTTCAGGAGGAGGCTGGGGGCACCCAGTAAGGCAGGTCGTCTCTCTCTCACCACCATTGAGTCCATTCTGATTCATAGCGATGCTATAGGACAGAGTGGAACTGCCCCTGTGGGTTTCTGAGGCTAACTCTGCGTGAGCAAACGTCTCCTCTTGCTCCCTCAGAGCGGCTGGTGGTTTTGAACTGCTGACCAAAGCAGCCCAATGTGTAACCACTACTACAGCGGACTCCTACTGGCAGATTGTCGGGACACCATCGTTTTCTTTAGGAGCTCTGGTGGCGTAGAGGCTGGACACTCAGCCACAAACCTACAGGTTGGTGGTTGGCACTGGTCGAGCCGCTCGGTGAGACAGAAGACATGGATTTGCTTTCCAAACGATGAAGGGCCTAGAAACGCCCCACGGGGCAGTTCTACCCTGTCATCTCAGGCCGAGGGAGTCAGAATTGACTGGACGGCATGCAGTGTTTCTTGCCAGTAAAGCGCACAGGGGAAAACGGGAAGGAGGGATTTGGAAAGATGGGGAGGAAAAAGGGAGGAGGGAAGGGCAGAGAAAGCTGAGGATGAGGACCGAGAGGATGGAGCTGAGGGAAGCCATCCGAGGGCTGGGGGAGAGAGCGGGCGGGGGCGGGGGCAGGGCAGGTGAGGAGACTTAGACAGGACCACTTGATCTCTGAGAAGTTCACTGGAAGCTGCAAGTGAAGGTGAGCTCTGATTGATCCTGAAGAGCAGAGACTGTCACTGCTTAGCGAACATCAAGAGCTGTCAAAACACAATCGATTGCATTTCCTCCGAGCAGCGGCCGGCGCCTTACCAGAATCAAATTGAAGGCTGTATGTTTTGAACTCTGATTTCATTTGGCAGCTTATTGGCACTGCTCACATGCGCTCTGGGAGAGGGAGAGCTGCCCCCAGCACCGGCTTGCTCCTTCCTCCCCTGCTCGCAGATGCCATGGCAGTGACCCCCCACCCCCCGACGGGTCAGCGTCTGATTTGTTACACTGACCAGCAGGAAAGGCAGCATCTGCAGAGCTCAGGGCAGGGTAGGGATTTGTCTGTTGCTAGGACTCACTCACCTCTCCTCCTGTAACACACATATCATTACAGATGAAGCGCAGGCTCCTAAGGAGAAGTCAGACTTGCTGGACATGGGGAGGGCCAAGGGGGCGGGGAAGGCACTCAGTTCTCTAGGGTGACCTCATCCTCCAGGCTGGAAAATTCCCCATGGGGCCAGAATTGTCCAATGTTGCACACGGCTTCCTTTACCAGGTAGGAAGGGCACCTGCGCCATTTGGTTAAGCCAACCATGTCCACCGCCTCATACGGGGATCTGTCGGGCGGGCTGGGAAGAATGTGGGGTCCATCAGAGTCTCCATTTCTGCAGCATAGGTTTATGGGACTCCTGCCTCCTTGGAGCTGACTGTCTGACGAGGGCCATGCACCAAACCAGTAATAACAAGTCATTACATGGATGACAGGCACGCTTCTCCTTTGGGGGGAGGGGGTGTTGTGTCCACCTCCTTCCTTCTGTTTCACTTGGAAAGCTCAAACACAACTTTCAAGAGAGGCTAGAGAACGCAAAAACTAAGAGAGTGGGTGTTTCTTCTCTCTCTCTCTCTCTTTTAACAGAGAGATGATCATTATTTTCCTTTCTGATTGTGGCAAGCATAACCAAACATACGCCAACTCTGCGATTTCAATCGTGTGGTTCAGTGGCTCTGACTATATTCCCAAGCTCTACAACCATTCTCATCCTACGGTCCCCAAAGCATTCGGTCACTATTAATTTTTAGGGTCATTCTAACATCAGCCTTATCATTCTTTTCATCGTGAGACTCAAATCATGACACATAGGCATGATGTCAGCAGGAACCCTGGTGGCTCCGTGGTAAAGCATTGGGCTGCCAACCCAAAGGCCTGCAGTTCAAATGTGCTTACTGTTCTGCAGGAGAAACATGAGGCAGCTGCTCCTGATGGATTCACAGTCTCAGAAACATGGCGGGGCAGTTCCCTTCAGGCCAGGCAGTGAGTTTGGGTTTGGGGTTTGGGTTGTCATGGCTCCAACTCCTAGACCTCATTTCTTCTTCCTGCGCCCTCTTAGTTCAAAAGGCTAACATCTCTGAGAAAAACCAACTTCAGAGACAGCCTCTGTCTCCCTGTATCCACACCTCATGTGGAAGGAGCCATCCCCCTTAGACTATTCATCCTCTGGCCCTGTGTCATCAGCCAGCAAAGATGTCAAGGTTGGGCTTTTGTTCGTGTTCATTTTCGTTTTTGCTGTTGACAAGAGTTTGGCTTTTGAAGTCAACAAGAGCTAGCTATTCATGCTGGCTGCTCTCAATTGCTGGATGCTTAACCTCTCCGAGGTTCCTGTCCTCCCTGTGTGCGACCGAGTAGACCATGCACAGAGAGCAGTGAGCACGGACTTCACGAATCAATAGCTACCAGACAGCCGCCATTCTTCCGTTGTCAGCACGGAAGACACAGGTCCCATGCCACCATGTCTGTGGCATGATCCCTGCTTCCTCTCACGAGATAAGGTGTCGCACCTCCCTCCATCATAGACGATGCCAGCATGGTAACAAGGCCACCTTGTGTACTTCTATGTAGTGAGGAAACATGCCAATGTCCTCATTGCTTGAATCCCCACACATCCCTCCTGCTAAGATCATTATCCTAACTCTGTTCCAGGGAACCCAAGTGCAGAGAGGTGATGGCATGACTCTGGACACACCCAGGGTTATACTATGGGGCTGCCTGACCCAAAGTGCCCGCCACTAAGTATTTGGTGCTGCTATTATTTAATCTGTGGAAATGGTTACACATTGGACTGTGATCCACAGGGTGGGCAGTTCAAAGCCACCAGCAGTACCCAGGAGAAAGACTGGGCTTTCTACTCCCATAAACAGTTACAGTCTCAGAAACCCACAGAGAGTCGCTATGACTCTGCATTGACTCGGTGGCAGTGAGTGAGTATGACCATATTAACTGGCTCTCTGGTGGTGCAACCGTTAAGCCCTAGGCTGCCTACCCAGATGGAGGAGGTTCAACGCCCCCAACCTCTCTGTGGAAGAAGGCCTGGGGATTGGCTTCCATGCAGACTATAACTTAGAAAACCCTCTGGGTCAGCTCTAGCCTGTCACGTGGGCTAGCTGTGTGTCAGAATGGACCCCACGATACCTCACAACACCAATGACGTCACCAGCGGGGACACTGGTAGAACATTTGCTTCCATTCCAAAGATCTTGATTCAATTTTGGGATGTGATCGGTTTCTTTGTGTGACAACATGGCAACTGTATGGATGGATGGAGTTTAGCCTGTCAATCAGGTCGCAGCTGGGTGACTGCATTTGGAGGTCCCACCGAGATAAGTGGCTCTCTAGAGGTGGACCACCCTCTCTCTCTCCCTTCACCTTCCTGTCGACAAGTCCCGCTGAGACTGTGCGAGCCCTGTGACGCGGCCACCGCCATTGGATCCACACAACTCTTCACCCACCAGCCTGTGCTCTCCCTGCATCGTTGCAGGTGGCTGTGTGGTCTGAAGAGGGACTTACGGACTAGTAGCAGACTTATGGACTTGATCTGGACTGGGCTGGGATATGTACTTGATAGATATGTAATTACTCCTTGATCTAAAGCTCTGTCTTAGAGTGTCACTGGATTTGTTTCTCTAGCCAACCTGGCCTCACACACTGGCCATTACACCTCATCTTAAGTCTCCACTGACAGATGAGCTGAGGCTCAAGTGTTGCTAAAAGTTTCCGTGAAGCTTCCAGGCGAAACAAGTTCAGACTAGAAAAAAGGCCTGGGGATCCACTTCTGAAACCAGGCAATGAAAACCCTCTGTATCACAACGGCCCCACCAGGACCACCCAGAGGATGGAGCAGGACCAGGGAACGTTTTGTCTCCTTGCACCAACAGTTGCCACAAGTCAGAGACCAACACCTGGTAAAAGCCTCAGCATTGACTCAAGCCCCTTCCTTCCTTCCTTCCTTCCTTCCTTCCTTCCTTCCTTCCTTCCTTCCTTCCTTCCTGACAGGATTCCTCCCAATGTACCACGAAGCAAGGCAGAGACCATTTAAGTGGCAGAATCCCTAGTGAGTGACGCCATTGACTATATCACATACACCACGCCGCGGGAATCCGGTGAAGACAAACAAAGATCCTGCAAAGCTTTGTAAGCTCTCCCAGTACAGCCGCTTTCCAGATCTACAGTTTCTCTCTCCTCTTCCCAACATGCCCACAGGTCCTCCAGTGGGGGCGGGGGGCGGTGTACAGGACGTGCTCAGGTGCTGGGCTGCTGGTCTAGTCACTACCCTAGATCCCAAGAGCCCTTACCTCCTCCTCTAAGAGGCCCCTAGGTAATGAGCATGCACCTTAGTACCTCATTTCAGACGCCCCCAAATCCCAAGGCCAAAGACAGGGAGAACAGGCATTCTCCACATTCTCATTCTAATTCCCTATTTACAGCGACTATGAACGAGCTCAGGCTTGTAGACATATTTAATCGATAAACAAACATGTTCAGGATTCATTCCACAAATATTTATTGAGTGGAGATGAGCTGGCCACCAAGGAGAGTGCAAGGAACCAAGTTCTGACTCATGGGCTTTCAATCCTACAGAAGCCCTGGTGGCACACCAGTGAAGCACTTGGCTACTCACCAAAAGGCTG